ATCCACAGAATGGAAAGGCGGCGATTTGACCAAGGTTGTAGATGATGAAGATGATTCCCGTGCTGGATCCCTCGCCAGTCAGCCCGAAGGTGTTCTGGTAGGCTTTCATCGCGTTGATGGATCCCATGAGGGAGCTGTCGAAGCCGTTGAGCGTAGAGACGAGGTACCCAACGCCCATGATCATGTAGAGCTGGATCATGCCCTTAGACCATAGCTTCGGCTTCTCTGCCTCCATAGCAGCGGCTGTATGCTGTCAGCGCATTCTTCCTGTTGTCTCAGATATGATTTTGACTTACTGAGAGCTACGGAAGCTACATTGGCCTCCTTGACGTTCGCATGCTTGTTCATGTCATCGTCAACTGCACTCAGCTGGTGCGTCACAGCGCCCATGTCTTCACTCTTCTCCGCCATCTTGAATGTGTCGCTGGCAAGGACTGGAGAAGATCTCGAGGTGTGGAGCAGAAAAACGGGAAAGCTCTCCACTTGATGGCCGATTTGCAACGATGCGCAAGCTTTCCGGAATACTGGGTCTCTTTATAGTATACAGGCTTCTCCGCAAAACAGGTAGCGCCTGCATGTAATCCTACCCCATGGCACCGAGGCATCTGCTCTACCTTCCTGACCCGATGCATGGTTTCTGCTCTGCATGCAAACTGTTGCGCTCAGGCGCCACCCGGTTGGCCAAGTATGCTTGTTGTACGGCAATAGCACCGCATTAGGGGCGGAATATTAGCGGGATTACTGGGAAATTTTCAACTTCCAAGCTCGCTATACCACGATGGTACCCAGGCCAAGTAATAGGGCCTTCTGCAGGGGCGGGCCCAGGTCCAGAAGCAGGCCGGTTAGCGGACGGACCTCCCAAATTGTACCAGCTCTGGAGCGCCACGCGCGAAGTCTTTACGAAGGAGATGAATCAAGAATTGAGCCGGTCGGTTTGGCATTGAGTCGCGAAGAACCAGGCGAGGGTTAATATGGTGTAGCTGGGCTGGGCAGCGGAGTGCGGGGATGGATTCCTGGAGTAAAGCCAGCCGAGTTGGGCAGCCGCCCCGTTGATCACACCTCTTGGAAAGGGAAACCAGACACCTACCTCTGCAAATACAATCGTAAGAAAGTTAATAAGCCTGCAGTGCCTCTATGTGTTATAGAAACGCGTTCTAGAATTATTACAAGCTGCAAGGCGCCTGTTCAAAGTTTTCCAAGGTTCCCTCCAACGGAGTCGGAGTGATCAAGCGAAGAACCCCCGCTCGCGCTTGCGCCCGGACATCGCCCCATCAACCCCCCGATGCGAGCCCTCCCCAGCTCCAACATGCAACATGCGCCGTTTATTGCCAACACGTTCCTTAGTCCTGTCACCTGAGAAGCAGATGGAACGTCCTCTTGGCATCTACGACATGTGGGCGGACGGCTTCCCTGATCAGTCCAAGTCACGCTGCCTACCGCAGCACGGCCGCCTTACTGTGGGGTGTCGACAACTGTATCAAAGATAGAGGACGTAGAGCAGTGGTTCGTGGAAGTACCATCAACTTTCAATTCATCCATCATGTCTTCAGGTCAACACCCAGCGAGCGTTCCAGACTGGAACAACCTCGATATCCTCCACAAGAACACGCTGCCTGCGCGCGCATACTTTCACAACTACGCCTCTGAGGCTGATGCACTTAGTTCCAATCTGAGCAAGTCTACAACCCACAGCCTCTCCGGCACGTGGAAGTTCCAGCATTCATACTCGCCGTTTGAGGCTCCGGAAGGATTCGAGTCGACCACATTCGACACATCGTCATGGAGCGACATTGCCGTGCCAGGCATGTGGCAGCTGCAGGGCTTCGGCAAAGGCCCGCAATATACCAACGTAATCTATCACATTCCGGTTGATCCTCCCAACGTGCCTTTTACCGAGAACGAGACTGGATCCTACGTTCGTAAGTTCAAGGTCCCGAAAGATCTCCAGGACGGTCAGCTTCGACTCCGCTTTGAAGGCGTCGACGCAGCTTTCCACGTCTGGGTGAACGGTAAAGAGGCTGGCTATTCTCAGGGTAGCAGAAACCCTGATGAGTTTGATATCACTTCGTTCGTCGATCTCAATGCCGAGAACACCCTGGCTGTTAGGGTGTACCAGCATTGTGACGGAACGTATATCGAAGACCAAGACCAGTGGTGGCTGAGTGGCATGTAAGTATGGTCCGTCGTCGAGATGAACTGAAACTCATCATCATAGATTCCGTGACGTCTTCCTGGTTGGCTTCCCCAAGGCTTCCCGAATCGAGAATGTCTTTGCCCAGACGCTTCTGGATTCATCCTACACTGACGCCGAACTCAAAGTCAAGATCAGTGCGACTGGCTCTGGCAAGATTGCAGTAAAGCTGCTGGACGCAAAGAAGCAAGAAGTTGCCTCGTCCGAGGCGGATATCAAGGGTGATGGTGTGACTGAACTCAGCATCCAGGTCAAGGACCCGCTCAAGTGGACTGCCGAGTCGCCAAACCTTTACCATCTTGTGGTATCTTCCGGTGATCAAGTTATTGCCCAACGCATTGGCTTTAGACAAGTCGAGATGAAAGACGGCCTGATCAAAGTCAATGGTAAGAGGGTCGTTTTCCGCGGAGTCAACCGCCATGAACACCATCCCACTCTTGGTCGCGCTGTGCCGTATGAGTTCATGAAAGAGGATCTTCTCCTCATGAAGCGTCACAACATCAACGCCATCCGCACATCTCATCAGCTCAACGACCCACGACTGTATGATCTCGCAGACGAGATGGGTTTCTGGGTCATCGATGAAGCTGACGTGGAATGCCATGGATTCGAAAGTATCGCTGATGCCGCGCTTTCGAAGGAGGAGCGCAATCTACCGTTCCGTGAGCGTCAGCTTATAACTAGGGACAAGGCCGCGGAATGGACGACCGATAACCCGGACTGGACGAAGGCGTACGTCGATCGTGCGGAAGCACTCGTCAAGAGAGACCAGATGCATCCATCAATCATCATTTGGTCTCTTGGCAACGAAGGTTTCATGGGACGAAACTTTGTGGCTATGTACGAGCATATCAAGAAGTACGACGACAGCCGGCCTATTCACTACGAAGCGGACATTTACGCGGATACCATGGACATGTACTCCAGGATGTATCCCCCACTCGACGAGATTATCAAATTTGGTCAAGACAAGGAAAAGAAGAAGCCACTGGTGCTTTGTGAATACGTAAGATCTACCGTGCTCGACTGTGGTACCAAGACTAAACATATCAGATCCACGCCATGGGCAACGGCCCTGGTAACATCAAAGAGTACATCGATGCCTTCTACAAGTACCCAACCTTGCAGGGAGGTTTCGCTTGGGAATGGGCGAACCATGGTCTTCTCACCAAGGACAAGCAGACTGGCGAGGAGTTCTACGCTTACGGTGGTGATTTCGGCGAAGAGGTTCACGACTCCACCTTCGTCATGGACGGTCTTGTCAACTCCGATCATTCACCCAACGCTGGTTTGATCGAGTACAAGAAAGCTATCGAGCCTGTACAGCTTCTAGAAGTGAATGGCCCAAAGGCCACGTTCATCAACCGATACGACTTCATCACGCTCGATCACTTGGTCTGCAAATACACATCAGTCTCCTCTTCATCCTCTGATGGGGTTACTGGAGATCTGGAAATTCCTTCTGGTATCTCGCCCAGCCAGACCTTCGAGGTGCAACTTCCAACGATCGAAGCTCGCGAGGATGAGGTCTTGGTTAGCATCTCGTTCCAGCTGAAGGAGGCTACACCATATCTGAAGGCAGGATTCGAGATCGCAACAGCACAGGTACCTGTGACTCCGGTGTCGTCCTTGAAGAAGCCTCAATCATCAGGCAAGCAAGTCAGTGTGGAGACACCATCTCGCAATATCCTCAAGATTACGACGGATCAAGCCACCTGGGAGTTCAACACCCTCCATGGCAGTCTCACCTCTTGGAAGCAAGGCTCGACTGAGCTCATCTCCAAAGCACCTGAGATGGACATCTTCCGTGCGCCTACCGACAACGACATCCCACAAGACGGCTGGGACTGGAAGGACAAGCAACTCCACCACGCAAAGCCATTGACTCGCAAGGTCGAGTGGTCACAATCAGGCTCAGACACTTTCAAGGTCACCGTGCACCAACGCGTCGCACCTCCCGTCCTTTCATGGTCCATCGACTGCGTTCTCACATACACATTCAGCGCCAACGGCACCCTAGCCGTCCACGTCACCGGCACACCCAAGGGCGAGAACCTACCCCGCACCCTCCCCCGCATCGGCCTCGTCCTGGAACTCCCCGCGCAATTCCAACACGTCGAATGGTTCGGCCGCGGCTACGGCGAAACCTACCGCGACAGCAAGCTCTCCCAGCCCGTAGGCAAATACACAGCATCCAGCATCGACGCCCTCTGGGTCGACTACGAAGTACCCCAAGAGTCTGCGAACCACACGGATACCCGTTATGTCAGCGTCACGAATGGTAGTGGCGCGGGATTGCTCGCTCAGTTCGCGGATAAGAAGGATGAGAAGGGTGAGAAGAGGAAGTTGTTTGATTTCCAGGTTAGCCATTATAGGATGAAGGATGTGGCGGCTGCGGACCATCCGCATGAGCTGAGGAGGAAGAAGAGGGAGGAGGTTGTGCTGAGATTGGATGCGGAACATCATGGGTTGGGTAGTGGGAGTTGTGGTCCGAGGACGCTGGATGAGTATAGTTTGCTGTGCGAGCCTTTTGAGTTTGAGGTTGTGTTGCAGGCACCCTAGATAGGTGCCGTAGTCATGCAGTAAATGCTATGACCTTTCACTCACCAGGTTCTGGGTTCAAATTTCCGATGTCGCGCGTTGATGGAGGTGGGTCGCGGTTATCTTGCGGACGTCCTTCCACGTGCACTCCGCTCTTGCTCTCACCTTCACCTATCGCGACTGCCGAAAATTTACCCCACCCCACCCACTGTCGTCTATTTCGCATATCGCACACCACTTGACTCTCAATCTCTTCGAGGTCAACATCATGGCGAGTGGAACGAAGAAGCGACGAGTAAGTGTTAACGCGACTGCACCTCAGTCACGACACAGCTAACCGTTAGCAGAAGTCGCAGTCTCCAGCCCGCGGTACCACTTCAAAGCGCGCACGCGTGGCTTCATCCGGTACGTCGAAACGTACCCAACACGACGAGCCTGACTCACATTCGTCGCGCGCCGGATCCGTCAAGGACACATACCTGTCGCAGAAACAGGGTCGTTCAATTTCACTACCCACTGGAGACGACTGGGCGTTCCGTGTGAAGGTCATTTCGTCCGCGACCGACCTCGGGGATGATCTATTCAAGAACGCAGTACAAGGGCTCGTAAGGATCTGCTTTCCTGAGGGCATCCTCGATCAACTAGGTTCACAGATATTGGCGCAACACATGCGCGAGGAGAAGGCTCCAGAAGGCAACATACTGAGAATGGAGGAGGTATTCCAATCTGAGATGACGCAGCGTATAGCCTCAATGGTCGCCGAGCATCTCGATACGGCTGCCCAGATTGACTTGGTGCTGAAGGTTATGTTATCTAGAAGCGCAAGAACACATGGAGAGAAACTTGGGCAAGACATCTTGGGTCATTTCACTGCAAGCTTACTCAAGCTGAAGGAAAGAGCCTCTGAGTACTCTACGGAATGGCTAGCAAGAGGTGACGCAGCACAAGAAGAAGACAGCAGCGATGGAGATATGGATACCAGTCACCTCTCTGACAGGGAGCCTACTATGCCACCGAAGACGAAGAAGAAGCGGGACAAAGAGTCGAAGCGAGGACGGCCGAGTGCTGGTGACCCTCTTCCAACAGCTACGAAGCCCTATGTCAATGCACTAGCGACACCGCTTGCACGACCAAATTCGAGGAGTAAAGACCGAAAAATCTCATCGAAGTGGCCATGGGATATTGATGCAGCATTGCTTGCAGAGGACGCTGTATCCAGGATTTTCTCACGCACGAGCGATCTGTTTGCATATCATGCATTACCAATCTCCCGACGCAAGCTTGGACCTAGTGCGTCAAAGAAAGAGATGAGATGTGAGATGCAATCACTACTAGATGGTATGCCGACAGAAGAGTTCAGAAAATGGGTTGAGAGCTTACAGAAGTTGCTTAATGGCGATCGCGAAATGTTAAAACTACCGGATACGTACTCACCGGACGACGAGCAGCGGTTGAGTCGAGCGACGCCGGCGCCCATTGATACGCGCAGACGCTCCCGAAAGGCTACGAAAGAGACGTCAAGCAGATTGACTGACCCAGGTGACCATGCAACCAGCACCAGCAAACCTTCGCACAAAGAGACTCACATCAAACACGAGGCCATTACTCATCCAGTAGATGGATTGGCGAGACCTCATGAGGGCAACCAGACCAACCTGATGTCTGAGGCTACAAGTGCCTTCGAGCGATTGTCAACTGAAGAACGCCAATCTCAGTCACATATCAATAGCAGGGAGACAGCAAACGAAGACGATTTTCGTGGTTCTCGAAATATGACAGATCTGGTCAGTGTCTGCTGGCTGGCATATTTCAACGTACTAAGCATGGTCAGGTTCCGAATTTGAGATCAGAGACACCGGCGACTCTACTCCTCTGGGGTACGGGTACCATTACCAGCTCTCATTGCTTCGAAGTTACACGGACGATCATGGACAACCTGAGCCACCGGAACTCAGCTGAAGTAAGATCTCACTGTTTGACCGGAGACTCAGGTGCTAACTCTCATCAGTACATTGCCATTACAGGTCTAGACGGTAAGAACAAGACTCGCACAAAGGCTGAGCTCGAACACGCTATCGTCTGCTCGTTCCCCAAACCTGGGCCACCGTTCAGCTTCATAACGACCGTAAGGAACATCGAAGCAGGACTGGTACCTTGGGTGGTCGCAAAGCCTGGTGCTTTCCCAGAGTTGAAAGATATGCCTTTCGTATTCACATATATGATGACGGTGGGTCAATCCAAACATCTCGATGATTCCTATCTCACGCCACTCAGTCTATACCAGCTACTATCGATCTGATCTTTGGTTCCTGGTCTGCGATATCGAGAAGCAACGCAGATGACGTATGGAGCAGTTTCTTACATGCTGTCCAGAAGCGAGGCATCTCCGAGGTGCACATCTCCATCTTGAAACCTTCAATCCTATGTTGCTGATATCAATCTAGGCATCGATGGCTGCTGCTAACATCACCTTCTTGGAGATAGACCGTCTTTGCAAGAACCGAGGGCTTGCGGAAACGGTAAGACGAGTTATACTGGAACGTATCCTTCGTCGTCTGGCATTTTCCCAGAAAGAGAAGTTCCCTGAACTTAAGGCTACACCGATTGTTAAGGAATGGGAGGAGAGGACGGGCTTGGAATGGTGAGAACTGGGTTGTGGCTCGCACGCGGTGTGTCTCCGTGGTATATACTGATGGGAGGATACATGGCATAGCTGTTGTCTTTCCAAAAGTGATTGATCACGGATAGCTTCGCGAATGAATTCCTGTCGGGTATGATCAATATGCGCCGAGCATCGCAAAACTTCTCATGCTGAGGCTCATGGTATCCTAGGCTGGAATAATGGTGCATATAGTTGATAGATTACAAGCCGGTGACCATGCGCACTAGACTGATTATTTTCCAGCTTGTGAGCAACCTGTTTAGAAAAGAATCCCACAAAACTTGTTCCGCGTCCATCTTGAATAAAGCGCTATCACATTGGGGAGACTGCTAATCCCAGACCAAGTCGTGCGTGTGGCAGGCGCTCTGCATGCGCATGGCATCAAAAGCGACAAATTATCACACTGTGAAGACAAAAACCACGAGATCACGAACCAGGGACGTCAAATATTGTACCAGCAACATAAACCCAACTTCTCTTTCAAATTGTACACAAAACGCGATTATACTACAAGTCTATGAATTACCTTCCTAACCCAAAACCCTACCAGCAGTAGAAGCCGTGCTCCTATCCTTAGTCTCCACCTTCCTCAATCCCTTACCCGCAGTAATCTCTCCAAGTAAAGCTCCACGGTTTGGCGCTCCACCAGGAGCCTTCATGCTAGGCATTGGGGGTGGCGGTGGTGCTCCACCAGCCGGAGGTGGCGGCGGGCCAGGTGGAGGCGGAGGTGCACCGTTCGAGGGCATTGGGGGAGGTGGTGGGATGCCTGCTGGAGGCGATGTCACGGCTGGGCTCTCGGCGCGTGGGCTTTTGTTGTCCATGGAGGAAAGAGGGCGCGGTGGTGCCATGGTGCCGAAGAGCATGGAGGCTAGCTGCTTGGCTCCACCTTGGGTAGGCGCTTCGTCGTCGTCGGATGAATCGTCATCTGAGTCGACGACGGACCAGTCGTCGTCGTCTTGCCTTCCCAACCTGCGCGCTGAAGGTGCGGCGGGCTCGTTGAATGTAGGCATGGCAGCCTTGTTGGCGTTCTCTTGTGTCAGACGGTGGAAGGGGTTCGTGGAAACCTCGCTCGTGTTGCTGGGTGGCGGCGGAGGTGTCGAGACGGTGCTGTTCTCCTGGTTGGACATGGCCATCTTCTTCAAGAATGGGTTCTTGGTTTCAGTGTCGCCCATGCCAGGGTGAGGACTAGTCACCGAGGACGTAGGCGGGCTGGCGATAGATGAGGGCGGTGTGTTGTGCGAGATCTGGGGCATTGGTGGCGCTTGAGGAGGTGCTGTGTCACGCGGCAACTCCTGGCTGGCGGTAGGGGTAGTATCTTGAGGCGTGATGTTTTGAGGGCCATCATCATCCGACGACTCGTCATCGTCGAGTGCCTCAAGCTGCATCTGCAGTTGACGTTCGCGTTCACGAGCAGCTTCAATCTCCGCACGCTGAGCAGCCAGTCGGGACTCCTTCTCCTTGGCGTCCTTGGAAGCAGCCGCTCTGCGCTTCTTCTCCTCGGCCTTCTTGAGTTTGCCCTGCTGGACTTGCTCTTCCAGAGCGCGAAGTCTGGCTGAAGCAGACTCGCGCTCCTTGGCCAATTCGTCCTCTTGTCTGCGTTCCTCATCCCTGATGTTTGTTAGTGCAATTTCAAAAGATACATCGAGGTATACGTACTCCATGCGCTTCGTCTCGGCTTCTTGGGCCTCCTGCTGTTCGCGGATAGCCTTCTCAGCCATGTCGTTGTCTGCCTTCTTCGACTCTGCTTCCGCTTGCTGAACGTCGTGCTGCGCAATTTCGTTCTTGTTCTTGCGCGAAGCTGGCGGTGGGGGCGCTGGCTTCTTACCACTGCTCTTGGATGGAGCGGGCGGCGCTGCAGATTCGTCGTTGAGACGTCTTTGACGCTCTTCCTCGCGACGCGCATCCTCCTCTTCAGCCTGGCGTAGCTTCTCTTCGCGTTCCTTCTTCTCACGGTCGGCACGCTGTTGGGGTGTCTCGCCAGCCTTTACTGGAGCTTTAATGCCCAAGGCAGCCAGACGCTCGGCCATTCGCTGCTCAGCCTGCTGTTTGATGAAAGCCGCACGCTCCTCCGGAGTCTTGTACGCCGAGTACGAGCCACCGGCGGGCGTAGTCGTTGATGCGCGAGGAGGAGGCTCGACACGACCAGCCGGACTCTCGTAGCGTGACGACGATGGTCGGTTCTCATCCACACGAGCAGCTGATCTAGACCTATAGTTGTCCCGAGAGGAACTGTACGGAATTAGCATGATGCCTCTTGATAGCAATCGAATAGTACTTACTCGTCTTTACGGATACGCGAAGCGCGACTGCTGCGCTGTAGATCAAAGATGAAGTCCTTAACGTCATCTTCAACACCCAGAGCTTCCTCCCATCTACGACGTTCGTGTTCACTTGTGTTGTCGTGTCCTCCTTCTTTCAGGCTCGACTCCAGGCCCCTCGTGTATTCGTTCACGCTGTCTTCGACGTCGCGGATCATGCGCTCATTGTTCTCTCTTTCTGCTCGGATGCGCGAAGTTTCCTTTTCTAAGCGCTCGGTTGCTGCGCCAGTGTCGTCACTGGCAGGAGCAGGCCTTCCTGTCAAGGCAGCAGAGCGTGCTTGCATCATAGCCTTGGCGCGGGCTTTCAAGCGATCCGACTCAGTTACGGCACCGCCAGGTCCAGTGCCCACGATGGTGGATGCAGATCCGGGATGCGCCTTGGCATCTCTGAGTCTGAAGAGCTCGAGCTGGGCGTCTGCGATTTCACGCTCAGTTCGGCGCACGTTAGAAGCAAGTTCAGGCAGGCGATCAGTCAAGGTCTGTAGTTGGCGCTTCAGGGCACGACGCTCCGCATCCGAGTCAGACGATCTCAGTGAAGCTTTAGGGTGAGCATCAATGTCTTCTTGCACCCTGCGAATGCGGCGATAGAGATCTTCAGCCTCTCGGCGATCTCGACGGTCGAGCGCATCATCCTCGTCAGCGGCGTTCTCGTCTTGTGTGTCCATGGCATCCAACAAGATTTGCTTCTCCTTGACTGACTTCCTGAGCTGATCAAGGGACATTTCATCAGATCGCTCAGAGGATGGTGAAGCCGGCTGCGCTGGCGAAGGTGAGCGACCACCACCTCCAAGGCGATGTCTGGCGCTCGACTTGTAGCCTACGTTATCGTCATTGTTACGGAATACCGTAGCATCCTTTCGGCCGCCAGCTTGTGGGCTACCAGCACGGAACGAGTGGGACTTCAGGTAGCTGACACCAGTGCGCTGGGGCTGGAGGAAAGCACCAGAGTTCTTCCTGTCCTCGGCATCTCCACGCAGCAAGTTCTTCATTGCACCAATAGAGTCGTTGATGTTGCGCGTAGAAGGGGGGACCAACTCCGGGGGGAGACGGGCTGGAATGGGATAGCCGTTGAGCTTACGGTAGATCAAATGCATAGCAACGGCGAATTGGTCCAAATCAAGACGACCCCTGTCAGCAGAGTCGGCAAGTGTCCATATGCGCTCCAAATCTGGCTTGGGCAATCCACTCTGTCCAAAGATCTCAAGAGCTTGCGCTCCACTAATGTAACCCTTGGTCATGCCGTCCCAAGCCTTGAAGGTGTCGTCATACAGCTTCTTCTCTCCCTTTGTGATAGCCCACGGAATTGTCGCGTTACCGGTCAAACCAGCAGTAGTATGGTTGCCGCCCTCTCGGCCCGTCTGGGGCATCATTCGTTGCGCCAAGGCCTCGATGTTTGGTAGTCCGGTGGCGGGAGTGTTCGCTAGGCCCCACTGACCTGGCATGCCCGTGGGCTGAGCGTTGAGAGGAGCCATGCCGGTCTGGTTGGGCGCAAGGTTTGAGCCGAAGCCAGTGGGCATAGGAGGCATCTGTGGACGTGGTCCGTTGTAACCACCTGGAGCTTGTCCGAAGCCAGTCGGCTGTGGCTGCATGCCCGTGGGCTGCTGGCCGAAACCCGTAGGCTGTGGTTGCATGCCTGTTGGTTGCTGCCCGAAGCCAGTCGGCTGTGGGGCTAGAGAGCCCAGCAACTGGCTGTTTGAAGGTTGTGGCTGCGGCTGCTGAATTGTAGGAGGCTCGTTGAACTTGGGGGCGTTGGTGGCCGGTGTTTGGCGGTTCGACGATTCGTCCACAACTCCGAACGAGATAATGTCCACCATGCTAGAGACCTCGTTCTTGACTCGTTCGGGGAGGGAGTTGGGCAGATCCTTTCCGGTCAGCTTGAGATTGCACAAGTACATGGCGAGGGCGAATTCGGGGAAGAGGAGCTGGCCAGACTTGGTCGTGTCCGCAAGGGTCCTGCATCTGTTAGAATCGGGCCACGTATGCGATTTGTGCAACATACCAGATGTGCGAAAGCGCGTCCCCAGACAGCTTGGAGCGCATCAGGAGGTCCCGCGCCTGGTCGCCAGACAGAGCCTGGGAGTCTCCCACAGCCGACTTGAACAGTTGCTCGAACTTGGCCTGGTCTTGCGCCGTGATGAAGGAAAGCCTTATGCTCGGGATCTTGCTGCTCTTGGCCGGGACGGGCGGTGGCACGGAAGACGCAGAGCTGCCGCGGAATGAATCAGCCATCTGCGCCGATGTCATGCCTGTGGGCTGGGGCCGCTGGGGTTGGGCAGGCGGTTGCTGCTGCTGCTGTTGCGGCGGCGCGCCAGTCTGGAA